CTCGTGTGCCCACTGATATGGCTACGCGTGCTACCTGTGGCACGCGTGCCATAGGTTCACCATCACGGCCCTATACCATTACAGATAACTGGCTGTCCAATCTCTTCTTGAAAACCTCCAGTGATGGAGCAGCCAAAACTTCTGGAGGAAAGCCATTCCACTGATTGATTGATCTGGGATTTCAGAAATAGGCTGAATTCGGATCGCCCATCAAATTGAAAACCACTGAAACCATTTCTGAGCTGGAACTCTCAGCCAAAAAGCAGATGAGACCACCACATATATGAGGAACCATGGGGATTTTAGGGTAAAGGTTTGCCATTCGCCTTTGGTATTGGAACTATTATATGCCTATTTTGGTGGCATGAGGGCACCCCTTATCCCCCTTCATATTCAAAGGTGCACAGTTCCTGTGGGGCATATAAGGTGCACCCCTAGCATCTATCCACAGCTAGATAAAAGATTAAGACATAATAGGACATGTCATGAAACACTGATTGTGATGACTTGACTGCTACATATATATATATCCAGGATCCCAATCCTTGTGCTGAGGTGTTGAGGAGTTGAGGTGCTGAGTTGCGGAGGAGCTGAGGTGTTGTATTGCAGAGGTGTTGACAAGCTAAGGTGCTGAAGTGCAGAGGTTCTGAGGTGCAGAAGTGCTGAAGTGCGGAGGTGCTGAAGTGCTGAGGTTCTGAAGTACAGAAGTGCTGAGGAGCTGAGGTGCGGAGGTGCTGAAGTGCTGAGGAGCTGAAGTGCTGAGGTGCTGAAGTGCGGAGGTGTTGAGGAGCTAAGTGTGGAAGTGCTGAAGTGCTGAGGTGCTGAGGTGCTGAAGTGCTGAAGTGCTGAAGTGCGGAAGTGCTGAAGTGCTGAGGTTCTGAGGTACGGAAGTGCTGAGGAACTGAGGTGCGGAGGTGCTGAAGTGCTGAAGTGCTGAGGAGCTGAAGTGTGGAGGTGTTGAGGAGCTAAGTGTGGAGGTGCTGAAGTGCTGAGGTTCTGAGGTGCAGAAGTTCTGAAGTACTGAGGTTCTGAGGTACGGAAGTGCTGAGGAGCTGAGGTGCGGAGGTACTGAAATGCTGAGGAGCTGAAGTGCGGAAGTGCTGAGGTTCTGAGGTTCTGAGGTACGGAAGTGCTGAGGAGCTGAGGTGCGGAGGTTCTGAGGTTCTGAGGTACGGAAGTGCTGAGGAGCTGAGGTGCGGAGGTGCTGAAGTGCTGAGGAGCTGAAGTGCGGAGGTGCTGAAGGTGCTGAGGTGCTAAAGTGTGGAGGACCTGAGGATCCTGGTAAGGACACACTTCTGGAAGGATGACCCAGTGGGTCATAGGTCACACTTCTAGAGAAACACTGAGATGTCATTGCACCAAGCCTTGACGACATGTTTGCTTTCAGTATTTAATTTTTACATCGAAACTGGGGGGCATCTTGGTGGATGTCTGAAAAATTCTGTTGCCAATCCCCATTTTAAAGGCAGATAAATTATAGAATAAATGTAGAGTACCAAGAAGACCTCTGCTATTTGTTGACCTCCATTCTGATCAAACTTTGGAGAAAAAAAAGCTGCAAATATCAATAGTTGAGCTTGTTTTTCATATGAAGCTCTCATCACTATTACAAATTTTATTGATACAATTGTGATCTCATACAACCTCACAAAAAAGGTACTGTGAGAAAGCAACTTGTTGGGCTACCTTTGCAGATTGGCATATTTCATGGGGAACAGGAATGTTTTCCACATGTTGAATTGGCTAACCATCTGCTTTCATGAAAAAAATCATAAATTTCCCCTGTAATTCATAGGAGATTGAAAAGTAGCTTGAGGCTAGTGGGACCTTATCAATTGGAATAGAAATGCCAAATATTTAGTTGAAACAAAAAAGGAAAGGGAAAACTCCTGGGCAGGGCCGGATTTAGATGAAAAGAGGCCCTAGGCTATTCCACTTATGAGGCCCTTTCACCTATAGTGAAAGTGTAATTTTAATTTTGCTAACAATTTGAATGTAGGGAATGTAGGCCCCTCTTGATCTTGAGGCCCTAGGCTGAAGCCTAGTTAGCCTATAGGAAAATCCGGCCCTGCTCCTGGGGAGGGATGAGCAACCAGGCAATCCAGGAAGATTGAACTGTGCCTCCCTCAGTTATTAGGGGAGGCAATGGGAGTTGCCTTTTGAAGGACTTATGGAGCCTGACTACCCAAGAGAATGCATTTTAGCAGATGTTGAGGTCTGCAGGAGAAACCCAGAAGCTCCGCTGCTCTTGAGACTGAACTATAAGGCAGATGGGAGATGGTCTTTTCCTGCATTATTCCCAGAGTTTAAAAGGCACTCTTGAGGCAGCTGCATTTGGCTAACAGCTCTTGTCTTTATAAAATACATAAAACACTTATTTTTAGTATGGTCTTTAGGGGCCAAGGTTGTTATGGTTTGGATTTTTAATTTACCAGTCAAATTTTTCATTATGTGTCTATTTCTCTAGATCCGTTAGGACAGAAACATTATTTATTTGCATATTTTTTAATGTTACTTGTTTTTCAACACTTATCCTAAAGGATCAGATTAGAGGAATTGGAGGGCAAATATAATTTAAAAAGTATGTGCTATTCTAGACATTGTCTCTCAAGTCTACATTCCAATTTTTGAAATAAAAATATCAAAGTTATTCTGCATTTTCACCTATTACTTTATCTTCTAGTTTCCATCACTGATTTTTGCAATGGAAAACAATTTGTTGAGAAAATTAAGAGAAAACATGAAACGTCTCCAAAAAGAGGTAAGAGAAAACATTTGTTCATAGGCTGTCGCAGTAAATTTTTAATGGAACATATAGAAATTTTAGGTAGGTAGGTAGGAGGTAGGTAGGAGGTAGGTAGGTAGATAGATAGATAGATAGATAGATAGATAGATAGATAGATAGATAGATAGATGGATGATAGGGTAGGTAGTTACAGACAGATAGACAGACAGACAGACAGAATATTAATTGTGGTTTCTGTTTATCCTCAGTTGCCAGTATAGGTTTTTGTTTTGGACTTTATTTTTGAAATACATTTTTAGCTTATATTAGCAACCCAAGAAAGCCAGTTTGGTATCATGGTTAAGGCATCAGCCTGCAAACCCAGACATTTCTTGCCCCACTTTAGGCACAAAGCCAAGTGGGCGACCCTGGGCCAGTCACCTTTTCTTAGTCCTAGAAAGAAGGCAACACCAAACCACTTCTGAAAAACCTTGCTAAGAAAACTGCAGGGATTCGTCCAGCCAGTCCCTGAGAATCAAACACAAATAAGGAAGGAAGGAAGGAAGGAAAGCAAAGAGAGAGACCTAGAGTCTCTATTGTATGTTGGGCAGCCATATAAGTTGGATGAATGTATCAATGAACTTGCAGAGCTATCTTAGGTCATTGTAAAGATTGATTTAACATATTTAATAGGTCAAGTTGCTAATGGAGATTTTACTTGACTTTAGCAGGAGTACTTTTTGTTTTCTCTGCACTTTCCACTTAAAATGAAAGGGCTGTTTGGGGATATAGTAGAAGGACTCCCTATCTGTCCCATTCCTATCCCCAAGATGCTTTTTCAAGAGGAAACTGGACTTTCCTTTTTGTTTTCGTTGAAGATATTTAGATTCTCATCCAAGAAGTTTCTTCAGTTCTGGAAGAATATCAAAATCTTATTTTATTCAGTAGTGTGAATTTCCAGGCAAGGGTTCAAAGATTAGATGCCAGAGATACAGTTGGCACCTCAGACTTGAAGATGAAACTATGTTTAACAACAACCCAAGTCACATAGAGCTGTTGTTAGAAAAATTAGTGGCTTTAATCACTGTCAATTTGTTTTTTTAAATGGGGTATTTTGTCATTGCAGGAAGAAACATCCAGACTTCCTCTTCTGTCATCTACCACCGAAGAACGGAGACGTGCTGAGGTATATAATGTATACTTGTAGCTCACCTTAGAATATATTTATGAGAAAAATGAAAATAAATGATTTTTTCACAATTGGTAATCGTTAATAATGCATGTGCAGCATATTTTATATAGTATATATGTTGACATTATATTTCTATTACATATATGAAATCCATACACACACATCTATTCAATACAAACTAGTTTATTTGTAATTTCTATTAAAGAATGGCAATTATCAGAGTTCATGCTAATTCTTGGTTGGTTCTTTCTTTGCCACATTAGCTACTTTCTTAGGCCACATACAATACCAATAGCAGTGAAATAAAATTTAGATGATATATATTTTGTTTGAACCACTGTGTTTTACATTTCCTAAACAAATTAACTAAAACTAGATTTTTTTCCATCCCAGCGTGAATAATCTTTATTGCCTGTATTGAATATCTACAGCAATAAATTGGGAGTTGCACATGTTTGTGCTCATCTCGACATGCATGATTTTAATATGCACAAATATGCTTGTCTACACTCCAGACTCTTTTCTAAAGAGGAAGTTTCAACTAATATCTTCTTTACACTGACATGACAGAGAATTTATGGAAAACAAATTCATGTAATTCTTTTTTTTTAAAAGAAAAAAATTATTAATATATTCTATACACAAATACACAAATAAAATATACAATCCTGCCACCATGGTATAATGTGATTACATTGTCCATAAATATAAAGTCATTCCTTTATACATGACAGAGAATTTATGGAAAACAAATTCATGTAATTATTCTCATGACCATGAAATGAAGAAAATTATCAAGCAAACATCTAAAATTCATTTTATGTTTTTCATTCTTCACGGAACTGCCAGGTTTCCAGGCGTCCAGAAATGCGCATGGGCCAGGATTTAAGTTTAAAGATGCGTTCCCATCAGGTAAGCAAACTAGCATCTGAGGAATCTTTTGAGTGTCCATTAAAGAGAAATAGTTCATGTCATAACAAAAGGTGAAGAAGCCCAGTGTGAGTGATGGGGTAGTGGGGGATGGTGAGTGGGCTGATATGGAAATATATTCCTGATTTGTGATGTATTTTGGCTTCTCTAGATTGTTCAGACAAAAACTGAAAGACTGGAAGTAGATCTGAAGAGAGCAAGGGACCAGAGTTATATGTAAGTCTTGGCATAGTTCATCAAATCTTTGCATAATCCTATTAAGTTCATACTTTCAATACAACATTCATAATTTCTACACTGGCAATGGGACTGGCCATTTTATCAAACAAGTGATGAAAATTATATTCTAGTAAAGCTTGGGAAATAAGGTGGGAATAGCAACAGTTGGTTGCTATTCCTCAGTGATTAAGGTACTGCCTTAATCACTGAGGAAGCAACTTGTTGAGATATGTTGACAGGCATTTGTGAGAAGTTGTAGTTATTCTACATCCATAACTTTACTTTGCTTCTGAAAATCATTTTGAATTTGTTTGTGCCTTTCGTGGAATGTATAAAAAAAAAGAAAAAGAAATGGTTAAAGCATTATTTCCTGTGTATTCACACACACACACACACACACACACAGAGGTATTTTTAACTTGTTGTAATTGAATAAAAAGGTTGATAATTCAAGTTAAAAACCCCTAAGGGGGCTAATTTCTCTCTGGTCTTCATAATTTGCAGAAAGACAATGGAAATGTCAAAACTGTTGGCAGAAAAAGAGGAGCTGGAGTTAAAATTCAGGAGCTTATAAATAAGACTCTCCAATTGGCCAAAGAAAAAGAGGAACTCTGCGAAGAGTATGAAGAAAAGCTGAGCAGGTGAGAAAATTTTAGATAGCAACCCTGCCTTTCTCTTCCTTTCCTAGCTATTTTAATTAGTTTTAATTTTAAACAAGTTTAAATAAATAAAAAAACCCAAATAATCAAATCAAATAAAAAAAAACCTAAGGGGGTTAATCACACTCTGCTCTTGATATTTTACAGAAAAAATAGTTCAGATGAGCCTGGGCAGCTGGACAAACTCAGACGAGAGAATGAGAGTCTCAGCTGCAAGGTGCAGAAATACGCTGGAGAAAAAGCAGAGCTCCTACGAGAAAATAATGACCTTAAAGAAGAACTTTATAGGTGAGAAACATTTAGATAGATCTTGACTTTTTCTTTCAAAATCAAATTTATTTATTAGAGCCCTTAGGCCAGATATACCGGATAAAAGAAATGTTCCATGCTTTTATATGTAAGTATAATTAAATAAGAGAAGAGCAATAGGTATAATGGAATGCAAAAATAATTAAGAATGTAGGTATGCTTAGTAATTCAAGTAAAAAATGAAGAGGGCTAATATCTCTTGTTCTCATAATTTACAGAAAGGTAGCAATGATGTCGAAATTGACATTAGAAAACAAAGAGCTCCAAATCAAGACAGAGATGCTGACATTCAAAAATATTGAAATAAGTGATGAGAAAAAGGAGCTCTGCAGAGAGTATGAAGAAAGATTGTGGAGGTGAGAAATTTTTAGATCGCCACCATGAACTTCTTGTTTCAGAATTTCATATTAGGTTCTCCTTATCTTAGAAAGCTTGGAAAAACCTGACATTCTCCTTACTTTAGAAAGAAATTAATGAATTATGGTTCATTATACTTTTACATATAGAAATCTAGGAGTTAATCTCATGGAAGTGAATGGGAAGATATGTATAGGAGAGATCTTTCAACCTTCACCACCATGGCCCAACAATATTTATATACCTTCAGAGTGAGAGTTTCCTGACATCAAAGCCATTCCCATCATTTTTAACTAACAATACTTTGTTGTTGGTCTAGATTTACAGCTAACATTCTGATTTTTTCCAGAGAGACACAACTGAGGAAGGGTTGCTGCACCTTATTGATGGGCAGAGAGCAGATGGACCAGAGACATAGCAGTAGTGAATGCAAAAGAAGCTCTGTGAGTGTCTGCCAAACAAGTGCAGACACTGCAGAAAACAAGACAGAAGCTCAAGACAAAATGAAGCCTCAAATGGTGGGGTATCAATTAAATAACAAATGGCTTAAGGCTTCAGTAGACAGCCTCAAAATCAAAGCATCTAAGGAATCCGGGCCAAATATACTCAGGTGGCTTCAGCAATCACTGAAAATCCTGAAAGAGGATTCCTCTGAACTGTACACCCTGCCCGAATGGCTTAAAGCATCCACCACCAACCTCCCGAAGGAATGTGCTGAGGCATCCAGGGGGGATGTGAATGGTTGGCTAGAAACATCGATAAATCATCTCCAAGAAGAAGGGCCAGAAACCTGTGATTTAGATGTGCAGGGATGGCTTGAAGCATCTATTATAGGCATTCAACATCTACAAAAATCCAGGTCAGAGTTTCGAGGAAGCCGAAAAAAGGGATGGCTGGAAAAATCAATAGAGAACCTCAAGAAGCAATGTCCTGAAGGATCTGTGGTGAATATATTAGAATGACTTCAAGGATCCTTAGAAAGCCTGTCACTTTCTGGAGAACCTAGACCAGTTCTTGAAAAATGGCTTTGAAAACCTGCAATCCTTGAAAAACCTGCAAGAGGAAGGCCCTGATGTATCTAAACAAGATGCCAAAAAAATGGCTCAAAATATCTATAAAGAATCGTGAGGAGGAAGGACCTAAAACACCACAACTAGATACTCAGGAATGGCTTGAAGCCTCTATTAAAGGAATTCAGGATCTACAGAAGTCCACTGTAGAGATTACAAGAACTCTGAGGAAGAGATGGTTTGAAAAATCAATAGAGAACCTGAAGAAGCAATGTTCTGAAGGACCTGTGGAAAATATATTACAATGGCTTTAAGGATCCTTAGAAAGCTTTTCATTTTCTGAAGAACCCCTACCACTTCTGGGGAAATGGCTTCAACAATCCCTGAAAAACTTGGAAAAGGTCCTGAAACATACAAACAAGATGCCAAAAATGGCTTGAAATAGCTGTAAATAGCTTCAAAGAGGAAGGACATGAAGCATCCCATCTAGGGACTCAGGAATAGCTTGAAGCATCTATTAAGGGCATCCAGGATCTCAAATACTCTAAGAAATCAAAGCATGGTAAAGAGGAAGGAGAGAGTGATTTGGGTAAAGCCTGCTTGCTCTTGAAAGAAACTTAAGGATGGATGGATGGATGGATAGCTTCAAACATCTTTATCAAGTTCCAGAAAGAATGGTTCTACTGCATCAAAAACAGATATGCAAGCATGGCTACAAACATCTCTGAAAAAACTCAGATGAGAATCCTCAGAAGAAGCCAGAAACAATCTGGAGGAATGGCTCTAGGAATCCATAGAAAATGTCCTGAAGAATCCAAGCAATGAGTAGCTTGAGATAGCCTTAAATCACCTCCATGAGGAAGGGCCTGAAACCTCACATCCATCCCATTTTGGTATAGACTTGTCTCTCATTTCTGTTGCTTCTAGTGTTACTAGCATCAAGGTGACCAAATGAACAAACTGGAAATATATCATCAAATATTTATTGTTTTGGTTTTCCAGAACTTCTTGAGCCTTTTTGGAGTGAGTGACATACTGTTTTCCTAATGGACTATGGTATTACAACATGAGCTTCATAACCAATGAACGCTTGTCCTCAACAATTGTGGTTATCTAGATGATGCCTTAAGTTGGGTGAGAGGAGAAAAGAAAGAGAGTAGAAGGAAAAAGGAAAGGAGACATTGATATGGAGGAAGAAAAGGAAAGAAGGGCCAAACAGGAAGCAGATTGTGCCAAAATGCCAAGAATGGATAGACAATGGTAGCGCACAGACAAACAAAGCTTTGAAAGTGAAAAGGAATCAACGAAAATCAGGAGTGCTCCCCTGACTGCAGCATTGCTAGCATAACAATGCAGCCTATGTGGAAGGGAAGGGATGCCTTATCAGGAAACTTCTCAAGACTTCCATGCGCATCAGATAGTTATGGACCATAGTCTGGTCCACGGTCTGGGCTATACAGCCAGGGCCTCAGAGTACCACCATTGCTTGAAATGGGATTCCCAGCAGCTGAAGAGAGATCATTGGACTTGATGGTGTGGGAGTATGAACAGATTTCCAGAAAAATTGCAGACTACAGGAACCCTTTCAGCAGTTCCAAAAAGGCTCCACACCCATTGTCACAACTCAGGTGATGCTGAGGACACAGGCAAACCTCCAAGTGGCCTCAGCAACTCTGTAACAGAATGCAAATGACCAGCTGTCTCCTTCCATTTCCACCATCCAACGGAACTGAAGAAGCTTCTTGGATGAGAAGGGAAACATCTTCTAAGTCTTGATGTTTTCTTCTATTTAATTTGCCTTCTACATGAACTTAATGAACCCTGAAATCTCCTCATTTATTGGGGTGTTCATTGTATTTGGATTCCCAAAGAGCCATTTATCCAGCCCCTGGGCCATTGCCTGATACTTGGTGAAAAACACACACACAGAGACACATATATGTATCTGATTTATCATGTCAGATTTATTTACTTTCAATAACAAAGTAAATTTACAATCAAACAAAGGAGCCACCTAAACAAATTTACTATTCAGAAGCAATTGTGGCAAGAGAACAAGATCACTGGCAAACCAGACTCTCACCAGAAATCAACTGTATCCATCAGATATCTGGGGTGGACCACCAGAATGGTCTGGCCTTGCATAGGCAGCCCAAAGCAGGCTGCAGCACTACCAAGTCATCCAGCAACATTGCAGCACATGCCAAGGATAGGAAGCTTTGTTTGCTTTTCTACCCAGTGATCTCCCCACCTGATTAAAGAGGCTGGAGAGATGCACGAGCCCCTTGCCACTTTGTGGGTAAGGGAAGAAGCCAACCTCTGCTCCCCCCACTGGAGCACATCATCTCCATGCCAGGAGCAGCCTTCCTCCCAAGACATTTTTCTAGAAACCAGAGTTCTGGGTAGGCTCACTGATTCTACAGCAAAGACAGCTAGTATTTGGGCACCAGCAAAGGAAGCCTTCCGTTCTTTCCATTAAGGTTAACCTGAAAGTGTCACATAAAAATGCCTTACCTATACAAGCTGACATCCATGACCCAGGACTGCAAGGGTTAACACACACATACACACCCTCCATCTACCTCCCCCCTAGACCACTCCTTACCCCAGACTCCGCCTCCCAGGTATTTATTTTTTTTTTGCTTTAATTTATATGCCGCCCTTCTCCGGAGACTCAGGGCGGCTTACAATGCGTTAAGCAATAGCCTTCATACTTTTGTATATTTATACAAAGTCAGCTTATTGCCCCCACAATCTGGGTCCTCATTTCACCTACCTTTGAAAAGATGGAAGGCTGAGTCAACCTTGAGCCTGGTGAGATTTGAACTTGCAGTAATTGCAAGCAGCAGATGTTAATAACAGTGCTTTAGTCCACTGTACTACAAGCTCTTCTTCTTTAAGGTTGTCCCACATTGCTCCAGATGTTCTTGCTGATGATTCCTGTAAAGAGAAGATCCACGTAAATAAAAAGTAATCTGTTTGACCATCGATGAGTCTATGTCTGTTATTGGGTCCGATCCTTGAAATTAGTAACAAGATGGTAGCAGAGGATGGTTTAATGACCCAATAACGAGAAGATATGCCAGAAAGACAATTTGCAGCCGAAGAAAAGAAGAAACCAAACACCCGAGCACGCACTAAAAGGATGGCAGCACAGCTGTCCCCTCATGGTAACTTCCCCGCGGGAACACCAGAGAGATCCAAAACCAAGACCGACCCTGAAACCATGACGATGGACGATGGAAAGGGGATCGGAGACCAGAACAGCCAAGAAACCGACGCTCAAGGGAGCAACAAACTACGGC